AGTGATTTTTGTTAGCATGAGCTTACGAGATTTTTTTTCAATTGATGTAAACAGTATATTTACACGTTGTTTTTATGCCATTAATCTGACTGTTGCAATTCATCTTTAAGGTGGAAGTCGTGGTTCAACCCCTGAACAAGATAGAGAAGGACGTCTCGGCACCTCTCCTCACATTAACAGGTTCCTAGCAAGAGAACCACCTGATGGCTGTGAGAAAGTCAATCTCAAATTCGTAGAGGACGCCAGGTAATTTGATTTGCATGTTCATTTTTACACATCAAACGAGTCAGTAAGAATTTCCATCGTAATAATTAATCATCTATTTTTGGATGTCACATTTTATAAGACATCAAAATGATATTGAGTTTGAGGTCAACTCTGCATAATTTTTTTTCTTAAAGAAAGACATGGACAAAATTTAATAGTGGAAATTTTTATTGAATCACAAAGTATATATTTAGGTAATCCAATATTTATCACGTAACGATGTGTTATATACCTTGTTAATTTCTAAAAATGAATTTTCCAAACACATGCGTATAGTGTACGCATTCTTCAGTTGAGGGGGACAATATATAAATTGATTTCAATTAATATCAAGTGTAGCTCATGTGCTTGGACGTGATTAGAATTTTGAAATATATTATATGTGTTTTCGGCAACACTTCAGCGTCACTGAAGCAATAATATTTCTATGCATAGGCGACCCATGATAGACTTGAGCAAACTAGACTATTGCCCAAAGCCGTGTGTAGCATTCCAGTTAAAACCTAGCTTGGGATCAGCGTTCCTGCCATTACAACAGCCAGCCAGTCCAACGATGGTTGCAAGTGCATCACCCTCTTCGCATACAACACCAACTACACCTCCTCCAAATCCATAGTCCTGCTCTACACCTTATGGAGTAATGTTTATAAACCCGATTGGTATATATATATTTTTTTTTACCGACCTGATGAGTAGAAAGTGGTTTACTTTGACACGAAAGCATACACCGACAATGAGAAAAGTTACCGAAAAACAGCCTGTTTCCAGTGCGACAACCCCAACTTTCGGGTATCGTGATTGTGTAATTAAATGGAAAGGAAATGGAAGTTCTAATTACGTCGATACACGAGATATTGAATGGCATCCGAGAGAGCTCCGTTTAAAAATGTTCGAAACAATAATAAAAATACGAGGAACAATAATTTGTGATAACTAAAAAGGGAAAAAAGAAAGAAAAAACGACATTTAGGAATGAACATTGTGTTCTACAGGGAAAAAGACTAATAAAATTGTGTATTCTAAATTTAGTGCTAAAAGTGTGCTAAACGACTTTAGTTTTGTATCAAAATGTCGAAAAAAGTATTAAAATTTGATTGTTAGGAAAGGCAAAATTCTACTGATACATAAACAAAGAAATGGTACATGTGCCTGGATTTATGTACATCGGTGCCCCTTCTATAATGTTCTCATTAGATCTTTATCACTTTCGAGACGATTCGGTTTTGCATAGTGAAACGTGAAAGGAAAGGAATCGAAGCACCTGTTAGAATTTTGTATTGTTTTGTATTATTACTCGTACGCTGAGAATATTCAAGTTAATTATTATATGAGGAGCTCGAAAATAGTGTATCCCTATGGTACATTATTTTGTTTCTTTTCTTCTTTTTTTGTTAGAATTACGTTTTCTAGATTTATACATGTACACATAGAGACACACACGCGTACACACATTCTTTATCCCTTCCCTTCATTTCTTTTTTTTAACATCGCATATGTAAGATAAAGGCATAAATCAATTTGTCACGACAGTTTTTATTTTGTATTATGTGTACAAATGTGCACCTTTTATCGCATAGCTTCTTCTTCTTCTGTTGTAGTGATTTCTTTTAGACTGTAAGGTTTCTACTTTTGAATGGTAAATGAAAGAAAAAACACTTTGCTCGACTATAGTGTTCAGTGTCATAAAAAAGCAACTTATGAAACTTAAGTTAATCAAGCAAGAGTATATTTTATTAATCAGTAAAGTTTATAGGGACTATACCATAGGGCTACATGATTTTTGGTTTAACTTGTATTATGTTAGTTTACTATCTGAATATGTACAACCAATACAGCATGTAATGACAGGTTGACGGATGTATGATAAATAGAGTGAACCTATCGATACAAGGTGGAAATGTAATGAGTAATAATATGGAGTGCGGTAAGATTAAAACATTTTGATTGAGGCAACAAGTGGACGACACGTGCTTTGAAGCTAGTGTGGTATCAGGTGTGCATACGAAAATGGCTCCCTAATTTGGCACAGTATTGGTGTGACTGGAGGTTTTTGTATTAAACGCGGATGATCGTGGGTGAAGCGACAAAAGAATAAGAAAGAGATTTTATCAATCTGCGTTCTATACAAATGACAGTATGCATGTGTTGTGTAATATCAGAATCCTGTTTAAACCATCCACGAATAACAACAATGGAGAAACTCGTCGTACTACCGAGAGACAAAGATTACCGATTTTGTACGAATGTAATGGACAGATGAAGGAAAACTTAGGAACTAATTTAATCACTCAAACTAACGCTATAGCATTTTAAAAATATTTTTAACGCGCGGCCTGTAGAACGATTTTACTCCAAATAAATTTCCCACACGGATTAGCAGCGACTTTTTAAATTTCTTTCGTACGGATAAGAATAATCAAAGGAATATCAAATATTGTAGGAGATATTTTGATATGAACTACTCTACTCTGTATTTAAAAAAAGAGCAAAGAAAAACGACAAAAAAAAGAGGAAGCGTAACGAAATGAAGATGCGAGAGAAGCAAAAAGATGGAAGAGAGAGTTATTCGTGCGATGGGTTTAACTTATTGTTTAGTATATGCGGACATAGCCACTCAAGAAGTTCAATTTATTTTTTGCTTTACTAAACGCAGAAAAGAATGTTTTTGCGAACACGACTTTATAGTTGCGATCTGACAGATAAGGATCTTAAAAAGTAAAATAATAAGATCGAGAGCAGGGAAGAACAGTTTTTTAAATACAATAGTAATATACTTTCTAATATTGTAATGTATCTAGCTACGGCAGTGAAAGGAAGAGGAAGGGAAGGAAAAAAAATGAGATGTTAACACATAAAGTACCTGGCACACTGGTCTATGCTCTCTTTTATCCAGCTCACTAGGAAGTTCATGCCTTAGAATGCGTGGCAGAGTGTGCTAAATAGACAGGAAGGTTAATAATCAGAGAGTCAGGATATATAAAGAAAATGGCACTGGCTAGTTAACGAGTATACAATACAAGAAAAAAAACTAATCTGCTATCTATTAGCTTAAGAAGAATCTTTTTTTTCTATTTATTTTCGCTATGGATCTAAATGACATTATCTCATCGCTGTAAGGATTATTAAGTGAATAAATTGTAAACGCGCATCGTCGAGTTTACAAGCACTCCAGGAAAAATGAAAGAAGAAAGGAAACGGCAGATAAAGACAAAAGAAAGAAACTTATCGATCGCGTATTTCATCTGTTGGCATATTTTCACTTCAACGGAGGAAAAATGAGTAAAATAACAAGTGGGGATAAAAAGAAAAACGGATGTTTTAACACTTAAACAGACATTGTATTAATCATAGTGAATAAAAGGAAAAAGAACGTTTCATACTTTTACTAAATAAGCAGAGGAGGAAAAAAAGAATTACTTTAGAGAGAAAGGCTAGCCTTATTATTTTTTAACTACACTCATAAGGCTCCACTTTTTAACCTTCATGTACTTGCGTAATGTGTTATCACTGTTAAGCTTTTGTTGTGAGTTCTCCTGAACAGAGAGGAATGCGTGTAAAGACTGCTAACACTAAAGATTACCTGTTGTTTGGATATATAGGAACCGAAAAAATTAAAAAAAAATATGCGAAACGGGAAAATTAGGCTCAAATTCGTCTCTCTCTCTCTCTCTCTCTCTCTCTCTCTCTTTCTCTCTATCTATCTATTTATCTATCTTTCTCTCCGGTTACCTATGAAACGATAATAGGAGATAATTACTCTTTTAAATGATTCGTTAACTAAATGATCCTTACGTGACTACTGTTCGGTACATTCTTTCTACATATCTAAAATCTGAGCAGGCTTCAGAAATGGCAAAATGATTATGTCAATTACGAGTTCATTTATCCCTAGGACTGTCCAAACGTATCGTTGTAGTGTCTCGTCTAACAACAAAAAGAATAAAGAACACAACAAAGCAACCAAAACGATTGTTGGGATGTACATTGTAATTTGTAAGATGCTCATAAAAATGACACTTATGCAAACGTTTTGTAGTGCATAAAAGAACCACGTAACATAATACGTTGTACAGTGAACGATATCTCGCGAAAAAAACGAAAAGACAAAGACGTTAAGAAAAAAGGGGGAAGCGAATGAAAATAAGAACAGATTTTTATATATTTGGTGAAGTTAAACGCAGCTTTTATCGAATTCTTTTTATAATAAATATATGAAATATTTATTGTTTTTTATTCTGGGGGACTAAACCTTTTTCTATCGTGTGTAACAATTCCATGTAAATGACGTGTATATAGAAATTTACAAAAACGCTTTGGAGATTCGATTCGACTATTAAGAATTCTATATATTTTCATTAATGTTTGATAGTTTTCTTGTTTTCAAAGTACTTTATTGAGTAACACTATTATAAAGAACGAAATTTTTACAGTCGATTTTTCGAATGTTTATGTAGGTAGGAAAGATTTTGTTTTTTATTGTTTTGACTCGAAACAATAAATGTTCTATTTGATAAATTGTGACGCGGAGTATCTTACAATGTATAGCGACGGGAAAAGACAGTGCTGCTAGCAGATTCGCAACGGTACATCGAAAATCAATAAACTTAAATAATACATTATAAGGATCTATCTCGAATCTGTCCTAGGGCTAAATCAAAATTAGTCAGCGAAGTGAGCTAGTGAATGTAAATAATAATTTAAAGCCGTTTGACGATGAAACCTTTGTACGGAACGTAGTGACTAAGGCCAACGAATTCTGTACTTTTCGTGTCTCTCGCGGAAGTTCGTTGAACGAAAGAAAAGGAAAACTTGTGGATCAATGCGAACTTTTAAGAATGTGTATAAAAAAAAACAAAGATATTACCACGAAACACTGGCCTGTCCATAGTCAACTGAGATTAGACTCCTTTTTCCGAACGGCACAATGCAATTATCAAAATCATAGTAAAACGTTAGCTTACTTTTAGTTTCTCCTAAAGTAGGTACATATTAGTTCGAAAATTTTCAGAATTTTGTTAACTTTCTTTACAATCTAAATTTGATGGATGTGGAATTTTATTCCTTCTCTCTTATATTTAAAATTTTGTACTTTCTTTTCTATTGTTATTTGGACGCGACGTTGGTACTGAATTTAAATCTTCGAACCGAGATATCGATATATTTCAACGGATGGGTCGTTTATGTATCAGTATTGTAAAGTATCCTAATTTTTCACGACGATCGAGATTTCATTTTCACTTCGATCCTATTAATTCTTCATGAAACGGAAACATTTTTTTGTAGATAAACTCATATATTTTTCTGCGGATTAAAAATACTCTTTTCTTTTTTCTCTCACTCGTTCCCTCTCTTTTTCTCTTTCTTTTTTAAGCGATAAGTTTACATATTGTATTTTTCGTGCATTATCGAATCTCGAAACATAAAGGCAGATAAAGTGTAAGGTTTAGTGCGTACGAATATTATTGCCTTATTTTCGAGTATTTTTATCATTATTATACATTATTTATATTTGATATTCAAATGTTTTAACGATTCGTATATATTTAAAGATATTTTTGAAATACTTTTAGTTTCCTCCGTTTTTTCCTACTATTTTCCCTCCTTTTTTATTTTTTTTGTATTAGAAAAGAACAGAATGTTGTATTTCTCCTGTATGTCTCCTTGTTTCAAAATGACTGAGCAACGGATTCGTTTGATGATTTTTTTCACCCTCTCACAAGACGAACTATTATACAGACTGTCTCAATATTTGTGGTACAATCGCGACGAGGCTTGTTTTTCAAGAGAAAATAAATCGAAAATATCGAATGAACCTTTTTTGTACCAAGCTTCGTTTGCGAGAAAAATGATTTTGAAATATGTCTGTTCGTGGCTCATTGTTTCTACTTGCTCATGCTGAATTTTCTCGGGAACGAAGCATACTAAAACTTTGTTCTATATTGTCGGCTTCACTTGGCGAGAGTAGTTTAAAGAAGAAGAGAAATAATTTTAAGTAGATTCAAATTTTTAATTATACTTCAGTCTGAAACTTTCGATTTTTCGAATTTGCATGATTTTAAAGAAATACTCAGACGTTAATTTCGCAAGAATCCAAGTATTTGATATTCGTATCTAAATTGAATAAGTCTTGGACTTGTATACATGTACTTAGGTTTAAATTTAATGAGTATTCAAATTTAAAGTACTTGAATTTCAATTGAAACGGTATTTCAGTATTCATACTCAAGTACCTATAAATCCGTGCAATAATAAAAACTCTAGCTTGAAACTGTATTAAGTAGTATTCGAATTTACCTTAAGTATGAGTACATAATGAATATAGTCCCATCCTTAAAAATTCCCCTCTTCGATTGCACCATAAATACCAGGACATCCTGTATTATATAATGTATTTGGAAATGAATGTATCTAATTTGTAATCGATTTTCTAAGTAATGTAAACGCGTATTGTTACGTTACGGGACTTACTATGATTATGATGCTATGATTGCGATGCGCTAATAACATAGATTCCATAGATTCGTTTAAAGCGTATGTAATTACAATTAATACATTGACTGCCACGCAGTCTTACTTATTTCGATACTTCTGTATCGAATTAAACGTAAGCGAACTTTTTAACCCTGCAAAACGAACAAATGTCGAATCTGTCGAGGTTTGTCGTCTACTTTGTTGCTCTGCCGGGCAAAAATGAAGTATAATAAGTTCGTCACGCGTCATCGTCGAACACACACCTACATTAACAATAATACCGTTGGTTCCTTTGTAACAGAGAAATGCATTACGGTTCCACACAACTCTCGGCGGTCAAGGTATTAACGATGATTATCATTAATGACTCGATAAACTTTGCTATTACAAGAAACTTTTACATCTCAATATGGGAAGGTACAAGAGCGAACGCGGCCCGTGTGTTTATCGGTCAGTACAAATAAAAGAAAAACTAATTCAAACGAAACAACTGAAATTTCTTCAAATGACGCACACGTGATGATCTAATGATCTACGCGTGAGACTCGTTCTTCGGCAAATTGGTTGGCTTGGGGAATTCTTTCTTGTCTTACCTCTCCATAGTGAGACTCCTATGCAAACTTGTTAAACCTGTGAATCTTATATGCGAATTAGTTGTATTATTTACCAGCATAATACTGTATGTACTTGTTCCAATAACAATATGCACTTTTATTTTTATCATAAAGTATAAATGGAAAAGTGTACCTTTTTATATTACTGTTAAGGCGCCTTATATGAATAAAATTTTTAGAAAATGAGATTTAACTTAATATCGTACAATTTAATAGTGTAACAGCTTACAATATTTTTGTTTCTTTCATTGTATTTCGTTTCACAACTATTTTCATCCGTTCGTACGTTTTAAT